ACATCTTTAATAAAATTACTATTAAAAAAAATATCTAGCCCTGCCTCCAATTCACTACCTTGATTTTTCCAATGCACCTCAGATGAACCAGAAACTAACAATCACTATATTACTGTTGGGAAGTTTACATTTAGAACGGTTATATTTGTTTACTGAGATTCTCCATGAAGTATCTGTTTTCAGGTTTGATTAGACATACACACTGGATATTCTAATTGGGGAACAAGTAACCTTGACATATTCAATAATATGAGCACAGTCGAAGATTATCCAGAAGCTGCAATTGGTCCAGAATAGTAGTTATGGGTGCACTTGATAGCTGCACTGGTTTCCTATAGGCTTCTGGGAGCAATTCAAAGTACTGATCATCCTCTATAAAGCCCATCATGGCAATGGGCTGATTTATTTGAAGTACCTCCTGTGTTCAATTATCTCTGCTCATCCCATGAGATCTGGTAGGGTGAGCATCTTCAGATCACCTAGCGGGACCTAGGAAGTGTGCCTTCTCTGCCCTGGAACAGCATTTTGAGGTTCAGATGGCTTCAAACCTTTTAGCCTTCTATAAATCCTTGAAATCCTGGTGTGTGTGTGTGTTTTCCAAGACATTGGAGACTAGCATTGGATAAACCTATCCTGAAATGACTTTGCATTGGAATATTTGTGGCTTTGCCTTGGTTATGCTGCATTGTGGTGTTTTGTGTGGTTAGTCATTGGTTTTTCTGTTTTTAATTTTATGTAAGCCACCCAGAGTTTCTATTTGCAGGTTGGGAGGCCATATCAATCATTTTAATAAATAAATAAATAAACAATAAAACTGTTTATTGAGAAAGGATTCTCAGTCTGCCTTAAGTGTTTGTTAAAAACAAGATTCTTTGAGTGTCACTCCATAGAGATTTTATCTTGCTTAGGATGGTAGAAAGATGTATCTACAATTTAATTCTTCATTCTCTACAATTCTGGCAAAGCTACTGTGAAAGACCCTAACTCTGTCTGATAGACAGACTAGGGGCTTAACTATATTGTCAGTTGCCTCCTTGAAGGAACAGACAGGCAACCTTTACTGGAGAGCAGAAATAAACAACATCATCCTCTATTAATCCCCCACTAACCATCAAAGCAACCTTTGAACATGCTTTCCTGCTTCACTTCCAAAGTACACTTTTCTATACTATGCCACCTTGAGCACTCTTGTCCATTATAATACACTTTAGTCTGTTGCAACCCAGCAGATCATTGACTGTTTTACAAAGGAAGGAATACCCCTTCAACTGAGTCAATGTTTACCAAACTCCGGGATACTTTTTAAAGCTGCTTATTAAGATACTATATTAGCAAAATGGCTATCATTCTTGCCCTGCAAAAAAAGGTTGCCAGTTTGAAACCTGGCAGAATACTATTTTTTCTTTTTTCTTTTCTTGAACTACCTGGTTCTCCCTGTGCATTTTTTTAAAAGAAAAGTTCAGTGGTGCACCATTTTACAATTTTTCCAATGTGTGGTAGTCAGGTTCTAATTAATCAAATAAATCTAAGAGTTATAGCCATTGTGCTTTCATAGCAATCATGGCAAGGTAGGCCTAAAAAATATTAGAAAGAAACAGGGCAGAAAGAAAGATTTTTTAAAGCTGCTTGTTGGCCTGCATGTATGTCTACTCTGAAATGTTGTATATATAAATTCAATTTTCTATGTATGTTTCTATATGAATGTGAAAAGGTACATACAAAAATGTAGCATTGGACCATACCTCATTCCAAGAGTGATAGCATATGAGCATCAATTTTTTGGGAGGGGGGATAGGCAGCTGCAAGCCCCATTTTATTTATTATGCCTGTGTAGGGATCCATCTATGATGGTCATGGACAAATATTTAGAAAATGTTGGATCTCTTCTTATGATCACCCATGCCATGGTCATCTCATGAGTGGATTACCGCAGTGTGCTCTACATGGGCTGACCTTAAAGACCATCTGGAAGCTATAGCTGGTACAAAATGCAGTGGAGTGAGCAGTAATGGGCACTTCACACTGCTACTTGAGCTGCATTGGTTGTCAGTAGGCTTCCAGGTGCAATTCACATAAAGCCCTTCATGGCTTAGGGCCTGGTTATCTGAGGAACCACCAATCCCTAATTGTTCTGGCCTGCCTAGTACATTTGGGCAAAGTGGGGGCACTCTAGTTTCCTTCAACTAAATGCTGCCATTTTGTGGGACTGAGGAAGTGTGCTTTTTCTGTTGTGACCCCCACCCTCTGCAACAGCATCCCTCCAAACATTCGGGGGGTGCTCAGTCTCCTGGGATTCTATAAAGCCCTTAAGATCTGGGTCCATTCCCAGACCTGGGATTAACGTGAAAGTGATTTATTGGTCGAGCCTCTGTTGCATTTTTTTAAAAATATTGTTTGCTGTTTTAATTGTTTTAGCCCAGGCTGCCTGTTTCTGTGGGTTTTGTTTTCTTTTTTAATGGATTCCATATTAAATTGAATCGAAAAAATTAAATAAATTAAATTATTATAACTGTGGGACATATAGTTTCAATGCCATATACCTCTATTTGCCAAATTTGTTAACAGAACTTCTAAACACCCATCCAAAGAGATTTCTAATTCAAAAACAAGGCCATCATTTTTTTTTTTAATGCTTGGATCCTTTTGCATAGTTCATAATTCATAAACTGATGATTTCCCAATAATATAGGGAATAAATTTGTCAACCACTGTATTTTTTAGAAAATATCCAATACGAACAAACAAATCATAATTCTTCCTTCCTAATCAATAATATGATACAAGTAATGAATATAATAAGTAGTAATAGAAAAAAAAAGTTGGGTTGTTGCTTTTTATTCATAATATTCTTGAGGCTGCATGTAGTACTTTTTGCGCAAAATCTTTCTATATAAAAAAATGAGAGTGGGAATTAAAATAAAACCACATTGTGGTTTCTTTGTCTGTGATTTTTTTTTTTTTGGCAAGCACTGAATGGTTAGTGGCTCCAAACATGCAATGCTTCACATGAAAATATGCACCTTTCGTACTGTTATAATGCCTTCCTGTGTATCCTTTTGTGTAACAATATCAAACATGTCTCTTCCATCACCATCAATAATACGGTATTCAAGTTCTGCATTTCTCCCAATGTCTGCATCAGAGGCTTTGATGCTTCCAATGGCAGTGCCAACTGGGGAAGATTCTGGGATGCGTAGGTGGACTGAGCCTGCAAAGAAGAAGAATCAGAGATATTTAAAAGAGTTCTGATTGAGATCCTAACGTTACAGCTTTGGTCAAGAATCCTAATCTTATGAATTATTTTTAAAAGGGTTAGGTAGAGAGGTAAGTTATGGATTTAAATCCAAGAGCATCAGGTTTCCACTTAAGTACAGAGGGACTGGTTTCAAACCAACTCTTCCAAAAGCAAACCTGCATTTTGGTGATTCACCAAATATAGGATTATTGGGCAGCCTACGAAGAACCTGTTTTCCCAGCTTTTCTGGGAGAGCAAGTTGTGTTGTGCTGAAACGTTATTCTATAGATTTTTTCCCCCTAGTCATTGTATGTTGTTCAACATACTTAGAAGGAGGAAGAAATTTTCAAAGGAAGATATATGGGGCTAACTGGAAGGCTCTTAGAGTATACCTTAAGTATACAGTGACTGAGGGACATCATCCTGCCTCTCCCAATCTTTTTCTTTTTCTTTCTAGTTCATCAGAAGCTCCTGACAGCCTTGTCTGTACTTTCCTGCAAGCCAGTATAGCTGATGGCCACTATGCATCTGAGAGCTGACAGGCAAGGAGGCCAACGCACACTCTACTGGCTGGCTAGGGGTGAGATGAGAAAATGAGAGGCCACTGTGACTTGAAAGAAACACTCTGAAAGCCTACTGAAGCAGAGAAATTGAGTCTTCCAGACAGAGCCAAATCCTTGTCTGGAAACGTTAAAAGCTGGAAACAGCCTTTCTGCCTGTTCCCAGAGCACCTTTTTTGGTTCAGGAAGCACGAGGAGGTTGCCATATGATGGAGAGATGTGTAAAAGAAAGAAATAAAAAGTAATAAAGCACAGCACCTTTGGCTACTTTGCAATAATAAGATTAACCCAAAACATCACCCGCAAAATTCTAAAGCAATCTGATCACCTGAAGTGAATTATATGTGAAAGAAACTGGAGGACATATTTTTGCACACCACTAGATTATCATCAGGCACTTGCCAGCCACAATGTATCACTGCTTGGTGGGTCAAAAAAAAAAAAAAGTAGAAAAAAACAAATAGGTTTTACAGTAATACTAAGTGCAATTTCACTAAAGGGTGTTTTAAGTACAGACACGAGTGAATACTAATAATCATTTGCAAATAAATAAAATACTAATGAGTCAGTAAAACAGCCATGCAATCTGATAGATGTAGAGGAGATTGTGTATTTGCAAATGGATGATGATATCATTCTTAAGGATCACTTTTAAGATTGTTTGGTTCAACTTCCTTTTCACAGGCTCTGCAGCTTCAGCTAAGGTCATTTTAAATTTTGACTTCAAAAGGATAAAGGAGCTTCAGCAATTCTTCCCAACTTGTGTTTGTGGGGGGCATTGTAATTAAGAATATTATCAGCATCCCACTCAATGTTGGGCAACTGCAATTCGAGTGGGCATCATCTTCCACTTGAACAAGCCCTTTCTGAAATAGGGACAAACCACCCACCACTACCACTTGCAATAACATATTCTGGCAGTTGAGTTCAATCCTCATAAGCTTCAGCTAAAATAAAAATAACAATAAAAATCAAATCCAAGTATCACAATCATTTGTAAGTTCCACAAATTCTTGCTGGAAATGATTCGATCTGGATTTTGTGAGCCTCTTTCCAACCTCCTTCTTCCTTGGAGCATTTTAGTGCTTGCAGTAAGCAGATGAGGTGAAGAAGGAAATGCATTCCAATCTCTGATACTGAAAACTTGCTTAAAAAAAATTGCTGCAAGAGTATGAGTTCATGGAAATTAATGGGGTCTGCAGAGTCATAAAGTATTGCTCTTGGGCATTTCTCTTTCATTACAGTACAATTTGTACTGGACGTGTTTTTGATGGATTACTGCTTCAATTTGCAGGATTTGATGGTTTCTCTTGTATAGCATGTGTTGTGCAAAAAAGCCAAGATTCTGCACGTGGGCTTCTGCCTACCCGACTACGGCTCATCTTTATTTCTTTTACCCATAGCCTCAAGTGAATGTAAATCTGGTGGAAATGTTTATTTTGAAAAAGGAAAAGCATTATTCCCATAGAAGCCAATTTGATGAAAAGCTATGCACTCCAGTAATGTTTAGTTTCCAGGCAAGACATGAAGAATAAAGGATTTTGTTGTTGTTGTTTTTTTTTAAAGAAAGATAGTTCAGCTTCTTAAAGAAATCTGTAAGATAATTAGGCCAGGTTGTATCATGAAGGGAACTACAGAGGGACAACCGTGTGTGAAACTTTGTAACACCCCATTCTTTGTATTTTATTTCCTTCTCTCTTTTTTGTGCCTCATTAGATAATAAACAAGCAAGGCACCTAGATTTTTGAGGTAAGTTATAAATTACCATTATTATTCTTTATTTGCACTTTGCCGCAAGGAGCTAAAAAGCTCTGGCAGCCTTGAAGCAATATAAAATCACAATCAATCATTTTTATAACTGTTAACAGGTTCTACAGGGCTGCCAAGATGCACAGCTCTTCTCAACTCACTTGAAGTGAGTAGGCTTCATTTTGTGTCTTTCAAAAGAAAAACAGAACAGAGAAGAGCAAACTGCCCCCGCTGGTCTTCAAACTATTTGTATTTTGGGAGGGCTGAAGCTGGCAATGTTTGAAAGTTACCGAAGCCAGCTTTCCTCTAGCTCCTATCTCAACCCCTCTCACAAAGTCAATGGAACCCACCATAATCTCCTGGTGCAAGTCCAAGGAAACCCACCCATCTTTTCTTCTACTTTGGAAAAGAAGGATGCAGTTACAGTTGTCAAAGAGTTTCAATAAAGACACAGTGTCATTTCCTGTCCCATAATCTAAGGGCTTGTGGACCAACCCATGACTCTGGTAGAGGGAAAAAAAAAAATGTTATCATTTCCTGTCTCATAGGCAATCTATTGGGACTTCATTTATATTTTCTCCATTGGGAGAGTCGAAACACTGTAATATTCAAGGATGGGATGGGGTGGGGTGTAATTAGGCCCAATGACTCATTTCTGGCAATTTTTTTTTTTTTTTTTTTTTTTGCCTCCATTCAACTTAAAGAAGCATGGAAATCTGGTCAGTATCTATGCTACATTCGATTCTGCTCTGTTTCATCCAATTTTTCAACATATCTTTTTTTAAAAAAATTACCATTAAATACATAGTTGCGGTCATATGGATTCTGTACATATTTTCTATAAGTTACTTGCTATTCTGCATAATTAAAATGGCTACTCTTATACACTTTTTTCTGTACAATATATATTATTTAATTAATATATATTAATTATATATTTCTAAGTAACTTTCCCTCATACTATTTTTTCTTCAGTACACAACTTTTCTTAAGCAGTGTGGAGTAGTGGTTAAGGGACAGACTAGGACCAGGGAGACCCAGGTTCACATCTACCCTCAGCCATAAAAATGTAGTAGGTGATTTGGGGCCAGCCACTCTTTTTCTTAGCCTAATGTACCTTGCATTGCTGTGGGGAAATTTGTAGGAAGGAATGCTATGTATGCTACTTGAAGCTCCTGAAGAAAGCTAGGAAATAAATTCAACAAATAAAATAAAACAGTTAAATGCAATGCAACCCTAAGATTTTTTTTTTTTAAAATGCACAATTCTAAAATATAGGCCTAGCATATCAACTTAGCAATGGACTTTGTCAAGTCCTGCAATCTAAGCCATGGATGCACTTTCCTTGGTGAATCATAGCATTTTTTAATATGCTCTAGCAACAATCCATCAACCATTGTAGGCTGAAAAGAACATAAATCTAGTATGTAAGACTTCACACTTGAACACACTTCTCCTGTAAAGCT